GAGCTGCCCACAATGCACTGCGCCGCCAGCATCAGCACCAGCCCTGACATCACCGCCCCGCCGCCCCTTCTCTGACATCACACTCCACCTTGCCCCTCTCTCGCCGGGGACAGCCCTCCCAGCCGCGGGACTTTCTCTGCGAGGGTCCGGTCTCGGTCCTCAGGTTCTCCTCATTGCCATTCGCCTGATCCCACCTCCCTCGCAGGGCCCTTTCCCCTTTACCTGCGACTGTCCGCCTCACCTGGCCCCATCACCCTTTGCCTTTCCCACCGCCTGCACGTTCCTGTGACTCCTCACCTGCCCGCGGAGCCTTACCTGTCTCCTCCATTCTATCTGCCGCCATATGTCCACATCACTTTCCTCTAAGCCCGCTTCGCCACACCTGCCTCCATCCCTCCCAAATATCCCGGAGCCGCATTTCTTCTAACCCGACCCTGCACTTGTACCCACCATCCGCCCTGCAACAGCCACCCCTCCATCGATCTGGCTCCCTTCCTAGCTCAGTCTCTCTCTTCTGTGATTTTTTTCCCCTCCCATCTGTTGACAAACGCTGTAGTGTTTCTTACTGCGTACCAAATACGATGCGCATTTAGTTTACTGTGACATTAAAAACGCTTCTCAACAGAGGCCCACAGAGGCTACTGCTCCGCTGGTGACAGATTGGATTACTCCGTGTTCCCTGAACACACTCTGCACTCTGTCTGGCCCTGTTCCTTCCATCCATCCTTCACGCCTTCAACAAGCGCACACGGGGCGCCTTCGACAGCCGCAACAACAGGGCAGCTACGTCCACCAACCAGACACCTCTTCTGACTTGACCCCTTCACCCCACCCAACAACCCTGCAATGGAGCAATGTTGCGGCTGTTCCTTTTCATAGACGCGGAAACGGAGACCTGTCAGGTGAAGTAACTGGCATTAGGTCACAAGACTGCTGTGGTTAGGTGCTGCACCCGCCTCCACTATGGGTGGTCGCTGTAAGCTCATTGTGGCGACCACCATGTCAATCCATCTTCCTCCTCCTTGACAACCTTCTACTTCACCAAGCACTGGGAGGAAGTCAGGGCTTTCTACTCCTCTAAAGAGTGACAGTCTTGGAAACCCACAGGGGGCAGTTTTACCCTGTCCCATAGGGTCACCATGATTCGATGGCAGAGAGCTTGTGTTTTCCCGCGAAGGACGACGGCTTTCTCCCCGTCACTGGTCTCTGGCTCACATGCCTAAAGTATGTGAGATGAACTCTCGCCGTCCTTATTTCTAAAGGGCATTCTGGGTCTACTTCTGCCAAGTCAGATGTATTTAGTCTTCCGGCAGTCCACGATGCGTTTGATATTTTTCACCAGCACCATCACGGAGATGTGCCGCTTCCTCTGTGCTCTTCTTTATTCCGTGTCCAACTTTCACATGCATGCGCAGTGATCGAAAGTATCATGGCTCCGGTCAGGCACAATGTCATCCTTCAAGTGACGTGTTTGCTCGACACAACTTTAGTGAGAGCTTGGTGCAGCAGAATTGCCCGTTGGAATCTGTCACTGGATCTCCTGGCCACCGTGTCCATGGGCATTGATTGTGGATCCAAGCCAAATAAAGTCCTGACCACTCCAGTCTTGACCCCGCTTATCACAGGCTGTCTGAGGACTCCGTTGTAAGGATTTTCGTTTTCTTCACGCTGGGTTGTAATCCATACAGCCAGCAAGTGGTCTTTAGTCTGCAAGGGCCGTCCTGGGAGGCTTCCCAGGGGAGTCACATTCTGGTGTGATTTAAAGAATCAGTGGGAGTTTGCATCAGACAAGTGGGCCCCGATCAGGGAGTGAAAGGGACTTCCAGGTCGAAGGTGTGCAGGTGCGTGACTGTGGCAGGGCTGTGTGCTGTGCTAAGAAGATGAGATTTTATCCACTTGGTTTTCAGAAGTGTGGTGGATACTGTGGTAAGCTGCCCAGGAACCCTTTCAGAATCTAGGCACTCA